ACCTAATCCTGAACTTTTTGCATAATAGATTATGTCGATTAGTGACAAAAACTCTAGGTGATAAAACTAACTCAGAACACTAGCACGACACTTAATATGTATGTATATATGTAAAGTTGTCCTTTTTTATTTACTAAAAGGGATAATTTGACATGTGAGAGTTAATTATTTAGATCAAACTGTTATTCCACTGTTGTTTCATTGTTTTGTATTTCTAAGTGTTTTATAACTAGGCGCTGTTTCCTGATTGGCTGATAGTTCATCCAAGGTCGTCTGTATTTTATACTTTTCAATAATGTTGACTTGCATGCTAGAACAAAGTAAACTGTTCAGTAACTGTTCGTTTTTTATTGGTTGGCTGCATAGCTAAAGCCAGTTAGTCAATCTATTAATCTTAAATAAGTTCTGAGTGAAAGGGCTTAGTAACCGTTTTTACTTTAAATATTATCTGAAAGTATCAAGAAGTTCAATAAACTGTAGTTATACAACGGTTGTGAATGTGCACCACTGATGAGCCTCAGATTAGACTGAAACAATTTCTACTTCGTCCTGGTTTTCAATGATTATCTAACTAAAATCAATACTTGGTGTAAACCTACAAACTTTAATAATAATTGGCTCAATTTATTCAATCTATTAAGACTATCAGTTTGTTTATTTCTTCGAACATTTTGTTTACTCAATTGATTTTAGCTCGATGCTTATCGACCCTAATGTTTATTTGTTTATTGATTATAATTTGTTGTTTTAATGAATATAATTGACACCTTTAACATGATTAACATACATACATGTACAAAATATACATATATATACATACACAGATACATAGATGTGTTATCTTAACAAATGACAGATAACAATTTTCGATCAAAATGTTTTCTTATTTTATGTGAAACAAATCAGCTGATCAAGTGTCAATATAAGAAAATCATTATTGTTTTTTTTTTACTTTTGGACTTCAAATGTTATACTTCATATGTATTAATTAAACAAATCGTTGAATAGTTTAATAGAATATTTGAAATGAAGCCAATTCAATTGTTATTGTGTGTTAGTATATTACACTTTTTGGAGGTAGTTGAGAGGTTAGATCATTTGATAGTTTTCGATTGTTCAAATTATGAGGTCCAATTAATAGTATATTCACCTACATAAGTAGTTTGGACAGTCTGTTAGTATGACAAGTTTTTGCATAAACAATGTTGTAACTTAAAATCGAATACACAAATTTATAGTTGATAAGTGAGTTACAAACAATCAGTGACATAAGAATTGTATGTTATCTCACCTATGTAAAGCTTAGAATCCAATGAGTGATCGATGGGATTTACATCACAGCTATTATGTCATTTTAATTTGTATATATCTAGGTTGTTTGGATCTTCCCATCGATGTTCCGGAATGCAATTGATCAGTCTCTTGGAATATGTGCATCCTGTGTGGACTGCTTTAATATTACAATTAAGTCACAATTTTAAGCAGGGATAGATGGTGGCTAGCAATAGAATATATATATATATATATATATATATAAGCAGCTAGTAAGAATTAAACGAAATAAAGTGAATTCGTGTTATTCTGTTAAGTTCTTTGTTCTTTCACTGTGCAAAATTAACTACAGGTTGAATTGGTAAGAGATCTAAAGATTATTAGTTCCTAAAACTGAGACGAAGATCATCGTTTGTCATTCTGAAATCCAATAATCTACATGTTTATTCTTTGAAAAAAGACACCTAAAATAGAAATCACATCATGGTATTGCTGACATTTTTAACTCCAACTTCGAAAATATGCTTCATTTCCAAATGATTTGATTAACCAGAAGGAGCGTTCTATGTGTAAAGCATCCATCTTTTTTTAATCAAAGATTTATCATAAACGACAGCTTGCATTAAAACAATACTTTCATTAGCTAAATCACCACTTTAATAATGATTAAGAACAGGTATTTCTTTTAGAACATGTCTTTGTTATGTATATGGTTAAATTAAAAGAAAGCTTGTACACGACCAAAACAACACGTAGGATCAGATCATGAAGTTATTGTCTGTTAGACTAAGCCATTTTATTATGTCCAAACTACGCAGTTGAAATCATTGGTTTAATAACCACAAACAATGTTTGAAGATGTTCGGTTGACCATGGCTCAGAATCAGTCATAACTGCTCGGTTTCAATTCCCCTTATTTTTCTCTTTCTAAACTTCGAGTTTCACTAATCCTCCGTATATACGTCTATTCATTGTCTTTTAAAACTATCTTCTTAATGCTCAGTCATTCCCATCATTATTGTTACCACATTTGGTCGATTTTTCAGCATTTTTATCATGTTAATTATATTTTGTATGGCAACTTGGTCTGAATCACATTTATGCGATATTCTATGTTGATTATGACCAACTGTTAAGACAAATTTACCATAAATCAAAATAATTATTCGAAAAACCCAATATTTACTACATTGTATAATGTATCAAAAGAAAGAACTAACCAAATGGTTTGATGAAAGTTTAGTATTACAGTAGTTATGTAAGAATCAGAAGAGATGAATGTTGAGAATATGTAAAAATACAGAGATGGAAAAATTAAAAAATTAGACGAGACTATAATTTATGGATGAATCAATCAGGTATAAGATAACGAGTCACGGATTTTGGCGCGAAATTCATGCATACATTTGTCTAAATAAAGTTTTGGTATTATAACTTACGTCATTTCATGATGAAAACCCTAAATCTAATTCCTAACATTTAACTATCAACTGTAAATCACAATCCTTATTCTTCAAACTGCTTTATAACCCTCATTGAACCCTAGTAAGTAGATAGACACTCCCAAGGTAACAATTGATTGATCACTGGGTGACCAATGTCAGCGTGTCTAGTCCTTATTATTACTGCAGATCGAATGCTATCGGTCATGTTGCAATGTGGCCACCAGTCTAGGTGACTCAATAATAAAGACTAGACACACATGACATTGATCATCACCCAGTGATCAATGAATTGTGATTACATCTCAGTCCTACAGGAAGTCGGTCGTGGCAAGGATAGCTCAGTGGTAACGTCTCTGATCGTGAAGCTGGGTGACACGAGATCGAGTCCGCCAGGGAGCACCAGTTCCCTCAAAGATTACAGGTACACCTTGCTGATGAGTGCCAAGTAGCATGAAACCCGGGTCCAGGGTTTCCTGTCAACTACCTCCAACCACCATCTAGCTCCCAAGGTCACTTTAGCGTCGCTCAAAGGTCGTCCCGAAAATTATAGTCTTACCGAAAATTATTTAAATATTATTAAAGGTAAGAGTTTAATCAAAGTTTGGCTAAATGCTCACTTTTATATCGATGGTCAAAGTAGACAGAATAGTTGTATAAACTTCTTTTTGGATGCAAAGATTAGATTTGTGAACATAGATTCCAATAATTTCAGCCGATATCCAATGAAAGGACATGTGAACCATATAGGTAACTTTGATGGAATATGATTGATTTTAGCAAATATCAAAATGGAAATTCTCACTTTATTACAAATTATTTGTATTTAATTAAAATATTTATAAACTTCTCAATGGATTATTCTTTCATTTCCGTATAACATTAAACTTAGGAAAATGTAAACTTGAATAAAACTTCTATTGATAAACATTTCTTTATTATCATTGTTTTACATCGGGAATTAATTAAAGTTAGAAATATGTAACATGGATGACTGTGGACGTGCACTGCTACTGAGGAATCCAATACTGGAATGAAACAATTGTCTGGTGCTTCTAGGTTTTCAATGGTTATGTAAATTAAATAGGTTCATAATTTTAATGAAATTCAACAATCTTTACAACCCCATATTGAAAATTCAATCTAATTGTTTAAACTTATTATACTTTTTGTGAAATGTAAATGTTCGTGATGGGTCAGTTGTTGAGAAATTTCAATCAAGTCCAAAATAATATAGTAGCGTTCTCTATACTTTATTGTGGAAGAAAAGAAACGAGATTCTCCTCAATAGATAGAGCTCGCTTCAAATAGAGAAAGGTTTCCATAAACAATTCCTTTGCCCCTCCCTACACACATTAATAGTTTTGTTAGAAGTATTGAACGATAATTGAATAGTGGTTATTTTTATGTTCGTCCAGTTGAATTCTATTAATCAATTGACAATATGGTCCTTGGTCCAAGTAACTTGACATCACATGTAGTATGTTGAAACGTTGGATTGTAATTGGAATTAATTGTGAAATACCGCAGATCTAGGTTTCGTGCTAGTTATCACCCGTCAATAAGGCGTATCTGGAATATTGAAGGAACTGTTATTCTCAATTTTGCAGTCTGAAACATTACCATTGAATTATTCAGGCAGTGACTAACCTCTTGTAGGATTGAGATATTTACAATGGTTGATCACTGAGTATTTATGAATATTGTTATCAATCTATGAATCATTCATTCCCATTCTATTAGTTTGTTATTTAACATTGAGGAAGTGATGTTCATTTCTTATAAATTAAATTTATGTGCCATATCAGTATGCGGTGTGGAGATTGTTTAAATTTGATTTAAATCAAAAACTGGTCTAAGTTACAAAAACATTAAAAACTTGGAAGCATTGGACGTCCGTTTCCTCCTATTATTGGACTATTTAGTTGCACATATCGACTACCATCACCACCAGTAATCAAACCCATCATCTTTGGTGTTGTGGCAAAAACTTAACATCTAGACTACTGAGCCAGCACTCAATGATGTATGTGTCTAACCTTATGAATCCGTTATATCACTCAAGCATCTTTCAATGTATTTGCTAGGTAACTTCCTCACACTCGACACATTGAGTAATTTATTTTTACGGATAATGTTTAGTACATTCAATATTGTTCCATATATAGTTTTATTATTATTATTATTCCCATTGTTATAAACTGTTTGAAATATGTGTTTTGTTTTATTTTTTTCACATAACCGCAATGTTGTTATGTTGTTTAACATAATTGCTTACCTTTCTAGCTTTATATGAGAAAATTCTTATCGGTGAATTAGATCAATTGCATAAATCACTGGAACAACGATGTCTTCTTTCCAACACATTTGATTCAAATCAACTAATGACAATTTCATGCTCCGAAGACAATGTTAGCAGTGGTGTTAATGGTCGTGAAAATACAAACTCCACGATAATAACACCAGCAACGCCAGTAACAACAAACCCCTCATCATCATTATCATTGACAACAATAACTGGTTTGAAAATCGGTAATAATCCAACATTAGGTACCAATTTACCAGCATTAACAACTGATCCTGCTAGAGCATTACTTATTGCTGGACAAGTATGTGATTGGCCAGGTTGTGGAGCTATTCTTGGTCCTGATACATCGTTTATTGAGTAAGTCTTGATTGTTATCAAAATTTTTTTAAATGTTAAATTCATGCAGGGAATGAAAAGATGCCTTGAAAGCATTTTACATGGTTGTATTAGGATCATCGAGTTAGACGCAGGAGGTTGATGATATTAGGTGAGGACTGGAAAAACGGTTAGTGAGGTACTGAGTTTTCTTTAAATGAAGCGAGTAGGACATGGATTAGATATGCTTTACTACCCCGTACCCGAAAGCACAATGTTTGCCAGCGTAAAAGTAAGTTGGAAGAAAGCTAGAAGCGACCAAACATCTTATTTGGAGTTCATCACTTGAATATGTACATTGAGAGTTATGAATCAATCATTTTTCACTTTAAATACCATCGCATTATTCACTGAACTATTGAATCAGATGCAAATCATGAAGTCTACTGATAATAACTCTTATCTAATATTATTGATATCAATAATAGTTTTGAGGTAAAACTATTCCACTATACTACCTCTGGGTTCATATATATATGTGTAGGCTGGTTAAGAAACAAATAAATTGGCATTGCGAAGCATAAATTTGCAAGACTATGTGCTTAAATATATATTTATGTACCATAAAGGTATGTCTAAGTGTTATGCGACTTGAGGGAGTCTACAGGAATAGTCGAATCTTGGTTTCATACCATTTGGCAGTCACCAACATAGCATATCTTTAAAACTGAAGGGACTGATACTGTTTGTTAGATTTAAACTTTTTATACGATATCCTGTGGTACTGAGGTGTTTGTATCGACCGTTCACTGAGTAGTAACCTATTGTTTATCTCTTAATACTGACAGAACTGTCCATGTCGATCAAGTTTCAGTGTGACCTTCAGTTTGAATGATTTATCTTGGGTCTTACTGTGACACTAAATTGTAGATTTGTAACTTATCAGATGTTCAGGTTCGTTCAGTATTTCAACTATGTTTTACTAACAAACGCTAACACAAAATCTAAGTCCAGGATTTTCCAACCAAAAATTCTTTAAAATATCTATTTTAATTGATGATCAATAAATCATGAAACCATGAGTCACTAAAGGTGATGATGACAACATAGATCAATTGGAACTGATTCAACAGACCAGTAACTTAGAAGTGGTTAATTTACCTGGCATCTAACCATATGATCCCAAGTCAAAACTTTGCCTGGTCTACTGTGACTTCGATGGTCGAGTAGTATCAGTTTCCCTCAAACTTAATATGTTCAAAGTCATGTCGATAAACCTGTGTTCGTGAGTGGCTTACATATTAAACCTGTGATTTAAAATAGAAATTTGACGAAGTTATCAATTGTTTCGCTAAAAGTACAGGGATGAACAAATCAGAATTGAGAACGAAACTTCAGATTTTTTGTGCGAAATTCAGATAAACAATAACAGTACCTTTTTATACTGGTTAAAACGTTTAAAATCATAAGAAAAAATTACTTTTTGCAACCGCCGAGTAAAAACGATGGTGTTAAATGTATCAAATCCTCAACTCTGTCTTATTTAATTGCATATAATGGGCAATTAGATACTATCTCTAAGTCCTAAACGTAGTCTGTTAATCTAGAAGCACGCCTTAACCTGATGGCATTACATTTTGTGGACGAACTTGACAGGTAGGGTTTTTTGCATGTTTGAGCGAAATCCATTGATCCAAATTCTTACAGAGCATTTTTACATTATAACTAATGTCAGTTTGTAATAGCAACTCTAACCCTTAAACCCCTAATCCTTACCCTGAATACTAATCTCTGACCAAGAACATTTGACGACTCTTAACCATCTATTTAAGTCCTTATAAGGGTTCTAGAAGATGAACAATCTATATCTATAAGGATATACACGTAAAGTAACCTGTAGAAAATACTAATAGTAGACTTATTAATTACGTAAAATTGGTTCAGAATTTGCAATACTGTTGTTTTCTTTACAACCTGTCTATTTGTAAGGATCCACGATTCCGCACTCGGGAATTGAACCTTCGGTATGTGATTGCCTAATATCCAGGTAACTAAGCCTGGATTTAATAATGTACAAATCTAACCTCAATCAGTGTACGATAGTGTGAACATAATCATCGCTTCTGAGTTGTCAGTGTTAAAATCTATCTTGATTCTATTCTAATTATTTTAAAATAAAAATAATGTTATAATAAAGATCACGAGTCAATTATTGAGGCTTTATACCTTAATCAACTAAAGTTTCAGGGAAATGTGATCAAGTATGCACAACCATCACCTATATATACTGCTAGCTGATTTAACTGAGAGTGTGTAGGTTTTAACAAACTAGAAGCTTCAGAAGTACACAAAAAATCATTATATTGTGGTATAAGCTTATTAATAGTTAGATATACATTATTTTGTTTTAGTTTGTAAAGTTTTAATAGTGCAAATGGAATCGTTTCTGTATCTTTCTCTATGTCTTAAGTTTTATTATCTCGTTTTGGATATCACATTTCTTACTCCATCAATTGTTTCTTCCTTTTCAAGCCAATCTCAATATATGTACTATGTGGTGTCCAATAGTGATGTTTCATCCTATTAGAGATTCATCAATTAGATATACTTGCATCTCAGTGTTCGTGTCCACATTAGGACCTGACTCTATTACTTTCCACTTAAAAGACCATCACATATTATCTACCGGGCTAATGAACATAATCGACGTTTTTAATCTATTTTACTATAATTGAAACTTATATTATTATTATTTCAATTCTTTTGCTGTTTGTCTTGTTAATTTCATACCACTTTGTCAGTGTTCAGTAAGAAAATTTGAAACCAGTACATACTTATACCAGGTTGTAAGTTGTTTCGAGTCTTATACTTGTTATCCCTTAAGAATTATCATTTGAAGATGATCATCATGGCTTGGCTTACAATTTGAAACTAACTTGATCTAAAAGGAATTCATGAACTTCAATGATATTTTATGTTATTGGGATGAGTTATAAAACTATGACATGTTAAATATTTATCGTCGTTTCTCTACTCAAATCTAATCTTAATACAACCTACTCTCTTTCTTTCTCTCTTTCTCTTTGTATCTCTCTCAATTTTAAACACACCATCTTGATATAAAATGAAACGTAATTATGTATTAAACAACATATTCTGTATGTAAACAATTATGTTTTGCACAAAATTAATAGTCTACTGTTTATCAGTTATACGATTGTGACATCATATTATGTATATATATATATATATAAACTTGACTACTGCCACTTAGAAAAGAGTGCATTGTTTACAAAATGTGACAGGAATTATGATGCAATACAATAGTTATATGAAATGAATGATAAACAACTGTGTAAAGAATATTTCTCTCTAAACTACTGAATTATTTATTAATTGTATTTGTAAGGGGCTGGAATTGAAGGGTCATTAATCGTTACGGTAGTAGTGGTAATAATATTAATACTAATGTTACTACTACTACTACTACCACTACTACTACTACTACTACTACTACTACTACTACTACTAATAATAATAATAATAATAATAATATCGATGGACTGTATACACAGTTTACTTAACTAGTGTCAAATGAAAAGAGACCCATAGTATAAATAAGGCAACTAAATTGTTGTTAGTAAATACTTTCGGTATAAATAATGATAATACCATATTTGTTGTATCCGTTGTTGATAAATTGACGTACATATAAATTAGTTAAATGATTTATGTTAATGAATTCAGTTGAAAAATTATTTTCATCATGATTGATATTAATTAAAAAGTTATTGAATATCGAGGAGGCGTTTTCAACGAATTAATATTTGTCTATTAAGTAGTCGGAGGGAATCAGTAAAAAAAAACCCTAGACCTAGCTTTTATTCTAGTTAACATATGTTAACAAAGTCTACCTGTGAATTTCTGTGGATTGTTGCTCCTTGTATGATTCGGATCCTCTTCATACGGTTTCACATTCTAAGAAATTATCACTGATACTTTCAAGCCTTGACTGAAATACTGTATGACTGAGTTATTTTTACTAATTGATCATTGTATGAGGTGATCATTGAAATATTTAGCTGGATATTGAGTATGCTCTTACTAAATGTTATGAAAATTGTCTTGAATTAGGACTATATCTCTTAGTTCAACCGTCTTTGAACGAATAAACAAAAGCACCTCCATAAATGAGAAAGTATTCAGCATTTCTCCCAAAGTTATTATTAAATTCATCATCAGTGTTGTGCTTCATCAGTCTTTCTCTTTCATACACACACTCACACATACACAGAATTACATTTTATAACTTTAAATTATATGATGAATATATGTTAATGTTGAGTTATGGCTACTTACGAATTCAATAATAATCTCACTGTTTGAACAAGAGTGCTATCATAAACCCTTTAGTTTAATTTATATGTTATTTAAGTTGTGTCATATCATTACGAATGAGGGTTTGTGTGGATTGTTGTTTACATCATCGACCGATTTTAACTGGGAACAAAAACCATGAAGCTATTGATCAACTGTTGTACTCTCATATGATGCTACTTAGCAATGTACAACCATTTTCCTATTTGTGAACAAACTTCAGAGTTACATACTAACTAACATCAATTAGTATTGAAAAATTATATCATATTAATCGAACTGTAGGATCGTATTTGGTAATACTTGTATGATAACCAAGTTAATGAATAGGTCATGTGTGTTTATGATTATAATGATGTGATTGTGAATTGGTTATGTTTTGATTACACTGATCGATATCAGGTATTAAGGTCATAAATCAGAATTCTAATTCTAAATGTTTACTTTTTGCCATCTAATTTATATCACTGGTTGAAATCATGAGTCATTTGAAGCTAGACCACCATGGAAAACCTGAAAGCACTGGACAGCCGTTTCGTCCTAGTATGGGACTCCTCAGCAGTGCGCATCCACGATCCCGCTCCTCGCGAGATTCGAACCCACGACCTATCAGTCTCGCTCAAGGCGCCTAACCAACTAGACCACTGAGCAGGCATCCAACGGTGTTAATGTCTAACTTCAACCAATCCACGAAGTTGCGCCACCGTACACCATTGTCTTCAGTGAGCTGATATCTCACAACAGACCTGGTTGAACTCCACTGGTAACGGCTTCTCACTAGAACTCCAGGAGTATCTCTTGAAGTCAGTCACTAGTGAGCAGATGATTATTATTATCAGAAGGGGTTGTGTGGAGATTTTAGAAATTTCACTCGTTGAAATCATGAGTCAATTGAAGCTAGACCACCATGGAAAACCTAGAAGCACTGGAAGGCCGTTTCGTCCTAGTATGGGACTCCTCAGCAGTGTAACCTAGTATTGTAGACTTAACGAATTAAATATCTGTTTTGTACCGTTAACCTCGATCTGACGCAAGTTAAGCTCTTATTATCTAGATATATTTACGCCTTTCTCTATCCCTTGTCTTGAGTCCAAAAAGAAGTCAGTATTCAACTACGACCATACTCGATTTAATCATGACTCAAAACTCATACAATGATATCGTGTAAAATCTTGAACATGCATCAGCATAATTAAAAAAATTACAAAAAAAACAGGATAACAATGTCATAATAAGAAGAGAACTGAGTAATAGGTCCATAATAAATTAACAGTAACTTAAGAGAGGCATCAACACAATAATAGTTAATGCATCATAATAGGAATACAAAAATACAAAAAATTTTAAGTACTTAGATAGCTTTATAACAAAAATACAATCAGTAACTTCAGGGAGCTGATAGTACGATTTTTCTGATACTCGTTCAGTTATAACAATAATAATGTCGATTAAAAACTTTATAGAGATATTATCAATCAAATTTTAATAATACAACAGTACATCGTTTCTATGATCCAAACAAACAATACAAAAATGAATTAAGTCACTGATTCATTTACTGTTCAAGATTGTTGATTTTCATTGAAATCATGAACTGATCCACGTTAGACAACTATGAAAAACCTGAAGGCAATGGACGGCCTATTTCATCCTAGTATGAGACTCCTCAGTGGCAGTACGCATCCATGACTTTAGCTTAAGAACCCTTAACCTCCAGACCACTAGGCTGGCATCCGACAGTGTTAATATCTAACTTCAATGCAATTCAATAATATCAACAATCCTCATACTAACAATTATCATGTGCTCACTAGTAACTAATTTCAAAAGGAAATTTCGCGAGTTCTAGTAAGAACCTATGATCAATGGGGCCAATTGGTGTCGAGTGTAAGGCAATTACCCACTGGAGATAATGGAAGATGGTCACACAATGTTGTGTATTGATTGGAGTTAGACATCAACAACGTTGGATGCAGGCTTATTGGTCTGGAGGTTTAACGTTCTTGCGCGAGACTGAAGGTTTCCGGTCCAATCGCCGTGTGATGGATCGTAGATGTGCACCATACTATGACGAAAAGTCAGTTCAGTGCTTCTAGGTTTTTGATGATTGTCTGACATTGATCAGTTCATGATTATAATGAAACTTTACAGTAAACCCAAATTTAAATGAACTAATGAATAGTAAGTGACGAAACAATTAAGCAGCTTAACATTTTAGAAATACAATGTTGTTAATATCAAGGCAAATTTTATTAAATGTTACTTGATGTATATATATCATTGGAAGATTTTCCTGAAGGCAACATTCATCAACCAGTTGTAACTAGGGCTAAAGTAAATCAATCTGATTGGAGTGTCTTAAACTGATTATATAGTCAATTAATGGTTATTTTCTGTGTGTGCAGGTGTGTAGGTGTGTGTTCTCTCAAACTCTAATCTTCTGAATTCTTTATGTCCTTTATTTTCTTTCCGAATCTATTCCACTGGACTATACTCCTTAAATAACATCATCAAACCCTAATGTTCCCTATCACTACTTATACTTTCACTACCTCTACCACTACGGGATTTGAATCGATAACTGAATCTCTGTGCTAATGTGGTATGGCAACTCGAACTGATGTACGTACGTACGAAGTTCCACGTTGTTACTGACTGACTGACTGACTGATAGAGGGAGTTATATATAAGATTTTTAAAGCATCAATAATTCACTGCTATGACATCATGGTCGTCATCATTATTATCATCAAAAAGTATCATGATAATTGAAATTCTTTTGAGAAAAGAATAAAACGTGTACACTTTTAAGTATTAAAAAATCAACTTGAACTCAGCAACTTTATACAATGCACGAATTTCAATTGACATTAATCTATATCTTTTCTGGATGAATGTATATGTGTTTCCAAGTTATTCAATCAGTTATTATTATTATTAATATTGAACTTTATTGACATATCAATATATGGTCATATTTTAAATTTAAGAGTTCTGGATTCTATCCATAGCAAATTTAACGGGTGAATACTGTTGATACTGTTGATAGAACATAAAAGATACCTACCTTATATCTTTAGTTTTTATGGACAAAATATATCACTTATAAATTCCAATTTCAACTCTACTGAACATGGTTACTGATGATGATGGTGATGATGATGATGATGATGATGACAGTTTACACATAGATCATTTCATGAATGGTTTATTACGGAATATGAATTGTTCAATACGTTACGTTACGTTCGCCTGTTACTCCCAATGGAGCATAGGCCGCCGACCAGCATTCTCCAACCCATTCTGTCCTGGGCCTTCTTTTCTAGTTCCATCCAATTCTTGTTCATTTTTCTCATGTCTATCTCCATTTCCCGGCGTAATGCGTTCTTTGATCTTCCTCTTTTCCTTTGACCTTGAGGATTCCATGTGAAGGCTTGCCTTGTGAAACAGTTGGGTGCTTTCCTGAATGTGTGTTCTATCCACTTCCAACGCATATTCCTGATTTCTTCCTCCACCGAGATCTGGTTTGTTCTCTCCCACAGTAGGTTGTTGCTGATAGTGTCCGGCCAACGGATCCGAAGTATTTTGCGTAGACAACTGTTAATTAACACCCGTATCTTCTGGATGATGGCTTTCGTGGTTTTCCAGGTTTCCGACCCATACAGTAGAACTGTGTTGACATTGATATTGAGAATTGTGACCTTGGTGTTGGTTGCCAATTGTTTTGAGTTCCAGATGTTCTTCAGTTGTAAATATGCTGCTCTTGCTCTGCCTAT